TTTGTTGTCTTTATTTGGGATACCAACAGCCACTGCGTCTTGAACATCCGGGTTCTCGAGAAGAATCTCTTCAACTTCGACAGGGAAGACGGCCTGGTGACTAGTGACGATCATGTCAGTTTGTCGGCCCAGTACTTTGATTCTTGCTCGGTCATACATGATTCCATAATCACTAGTGTGAACCCATCCCGTTGGTGTTTTGGTCTTCGAGGTTTTCACAGGATCCTCCAGGTATTCCAGGAACATCTTTGGTCCTCGAACACAGATTTCTCCCTTGGTTCCTAAAGGTACAACTTGACCTTGGTCGTCGATGATCTTCACCTCGATGCCAGAAGTGATGKTCATCTTTCCATAGTCCTCGTTGTTTCGGACAGTCTCATGGGATATAAGTTGAATTKCTACTAATAGCGTCTTGCTTGAGGCGTAAGCTAAAGCGATCTTTTTACYAGGAAGAGCATCAAGGAGTGTCTGGAGGGTTTTACGATGAATAATCTGACTTCCAAAACCAAAGGCCACAAGGTTGGACATGTCGTGGTTTTCGTAGAATTTCTCCCTGACAAGCTGATGAACATGATGTGGAGGGATTCCATGGTGGGCGCATTTTTCTGCCTGGACGATATCAAGCATGTGTCTGTAGCTATCTTGCATCGTGAGCAGTCTGCAGACAGTGCAAACGAAGGTAGACTCGCCGTTAATGAGGGCAATTAAAAGAGATGTAGCGCCATGTCCACGCTGCATAGGTCTTATATAAAAACCAATACTCTTATCTTGTCTGGAATTCAATCCATTTACAACAGCGTGGTGCGTGAATGCCACACAATTTGAACCGGAAGTGGAGAAAGCAAAAGCGGGATCATCTGCATCGACTTTACTTCCGGTAGTAATCACTTCCGCTTGGTCAATGTCATTCTGGATGAGATTTTCAAACTGAAAAATGCGGCGATGAGTGATATTGGTGTTGCTTTCTCCAATGGTTATTATTACCTTTGTGTAGTTCTCGCCTTCTTCGTTTTTTAGCTGTACCATTCTCATGATTTCATCTGCTATGCGATTCTT